CAGAGGGCTCTGAGCCCCCACACCCCAGCCCTACTGAGGAACCCTGCCCCTGCCACAGGAGATCTCCCACCTTCCCCATCAGATGCAATCTCTCTGTTTCTCTGGAACAAGTACTCACAAGACACATCTGAAGGCAGGTATGAAAACCTTGTGATGGGAATTCCAACTGCAGTGACCTTGGGGCAATGTTTTATCTTGTAGTGACAGTCCCTGCTGAGAAAGATTGACTTTTTGGCATAAAGCAGCTTTGGATGATCAGGCCATATTTCAGCCTGGCCTCTGTTTTGCTTGCAAATAACTGTTCTTATGCAAGATACTCACAGTAAAAACCGATTGTAGGGGATGGAAACCTAGCACAGAAATTCAGACTCTGATCTCACCTGACTAGATAACAAGACTCCAGTTAATTACCTTTTTTTTTTTTCTGTGCATTTTGGGGGCTTCCTAAAGCAGTGGTTGAGAAAACAGAGTACTTCTCAAACTTTCCTCTAAATATTGACCAAACCAAATAGTGCAGCAGCACTCAGAACTTTGTTTCCCACAGACCTGGGCAGGTGATCTTCCATGCAATACAAAAACAAGAAGGATTTTCCTGCCAGAGCTCCAGGAGCATTTGGGCACCACTCTCAGGGATGCACAGGGTGGGATTGTTGGGGTGTCTGTGCAGGGACAGGGCTGGACTCCATGACCTTCTCAGGGTCCCTTCCAGCTCAGGAGATTCTGGGACCCCACCAGTAGTTGTTCACTTGGTCTGTTATTCTGGAATTCAAACAATCAGACTTTAAAACCTGTCATGAGAGGCTACAGCAGCGTTTAAAATCAAAATACTCCCTGAAATGATTGAAGATTATATCTGTTCTTCAGCACACCTGTACTGGGATGTTTTCACAAGTGTTTGTCTATAACACAGTGACAATATGAAGATTTACTCTTAACTTTCCTGTTGATTTTTGTGTTAAATCTACCCATCCAGAGAGGAAAATGTCCTAGATCTTCTTCTCTTTTCCATACCAATAGGAAAGCTGACAGCTCTGAACAGGTTAGTGAAGGCTTTGCCTTGTAGCACAGTTGCCATTTGTTTCAATAGGCAGGAGTGGGAATGTCCCTCTTCCCTTACGTTGTTTGAAGCCATAGAAGAAAAGCTGATTTTAGTACCTGGAAAATGAACCACTGCTAAATTCAGTCCAGTACAGAGCCAACAGTGCAGTGGATAAAGGAAAGCCAGCAGGCTCTCCTGGTTTAGTGTGTGCCTCAGGGCAGCCTGGGATGATCCCTGAGCCAAAGGCATTGGCACAGTGTGCAGAGCTGCTGGGCTGCCCTGCTGTGCTCATCAGCTTTGGGACCAGCGTGTCTATGGGGATTCTTCTTTGGATTTCAGCTTTCCTTATTCCCAAGAGTAATGTCAGGTGGGTGAAGTACAATGTGATTGTGCTGAAGCATTTTCCAGGGTAGAAGAGAGCAAATCGATGCATTTTAGTAAGGCCAGGATGAAGACCTGGCTGAAATGTTTTGCTGAAGTGCTCCTTGCAGACCACCACTCACACCTCAGGACTCCCTCCATCCTCCTCCCCTCCACTGGGTCCTTGCAGCCTCTGCAGGGCTCTTGTGCCTCTCTTCTCTCAGATCTGTCCTGAGGAGTCTCCACATGGCCGTGTCCCTCTGTGGAAGTGTAGTCAAACAGTTTGTACCACTTCACTTTCTTGTTTAACAATGCCAGTGCTGCTCACTTGTGGCAAAAGGAGATGGGCTTTTTTTCCCCCATGATGCCAATGTGGTGGTGTCCTCCAGATCCCAAGGCAGTCCTTTGAGACACCAGCAGAGTCACTGTTGTCCACCTGCTCACGAGGTTGCACCCTGCAAAGCTGACCCCTGAGGCACCTGATGGAAAGCCTTTGCCACAGCTCTCGCTCTTCCTGTGATCCAGCAGAGCCCAAATTTGATTTTCAGACTCTATCAAAGGCATCTCTGGCTGTTCAGATCCTTAGGCTTGAACCACGTTTCACCTGAAGACAGACAGGCAGGAGGGGTTTGGCCTATCCTGCCTTAAAAACCTTGGTTTTGATTGTGGCCGTCCTCAGGAACAGAACTGCTGACCACCATTGCAAATATATTTGGTTTTAAGTGTGTCCATAATTGCAGCGTTGCGTCATCTCCACTGTTATTTTAGAAATTCTCTCTGCCACTCTACATTATTAATAAGGTGTCTGTGGAATGGTCTAGAAGAATCGTCCCTGTGTCGATCTGGACTCCCTCGCTCCCTCCGTGACCGGAGCAGAGCAATCCGATGGCACTGGGGGACCTCTCTCCATGCTCCTGGCACTGCTGTCACCAGCTGGCACGGGGTTACATCCACAGGGTGTCAGGAGGGGACAATCTCCCTTTGGAAGGGCAAAGCAGATAAAATGACCCAGGAAATGGAGAGTGAGTGCTGGGCACTGGCTGGAGCTCACTGCCACCAGCGGGGAAATCAAGCCCATGAGCACAAATAGGCTCTAGGATGAAATCAAACGGTTGCTTACTGTACCTCTACAAATAAACTCCACAAATAAACTGTCACTTCACTGGATGATAAACTGTATGTGAATTTTAAAAAATACACACATGCTACAGGTTAGAACAGGGAAATATTGTTTGATGCTTTCCTTCTAGAGAATTCCAAGTGTTTCAGTAAGGTTAGTATTCCTGTTGCCATTTTAAAGATAGGAAAAGAGAAACACAGAAGAGAGTGCCATGATCCCTATGCTACACAACAGCAGGGCCAGAAGGGGAATCACTTTGAACAGCAATAAGAGAATTTAAACAATTGCAGTACGTTTGCATAACATTCATAGTAAGATTAGCCAGCAAGAGTAAAAGCAAAGAAACCTGGAACTGAAGATGTGGCTTGGTGTGCCATCAAAGCTGTGGGCTGGAAAATAGATCACAAGACTCTCTGGTACCTACTGGAGCTTGAAATTCTTCCTATAGGGCTTCATGGCCCTTCATGTCCCACATCTCTCTTTGCTATTCAGGGTAAGGCCCTCAGGCCTGATCTCCTGTTTGTGGGTACCAGTTTGACTTACGGCTTTATGGCACAGAGGTTGCACCCTTTTTAACCAAAGCAAGATATTATTTCTCTGGATGGTAACCTGGAGCACACCCTGGCAGAGATCCTTAGGAAAGAGCAAGAGATGCCTTTGCCCAAGAGCCATAGAGTTTCTATACTTGCTGATAGGGAAGAAGCAGAACAAGGAGACCACCTGAACAGGAACAGTTACATTAATATATTTCGTGGTGTTTGAGAGCCTCAGTAGTTTTATCCTTGAGACCACAGGAATGTCTGTGCAAAAGAAGAATTCCCCTCTATGATTTTTACCAAAGTTTACTTTAAAATTAACATGTACAACCTGTTTAAATTTGAGGGGTTTGTTATTCTTTAAATTATTTTTATGGAGTTTTGTAATTTGGATGCCATTCAACTCTTGACTGTGTTCTGAAACCAAGGAAGAATTTGCCCTATCCATCTTAGCCTTGTAATGGATAGATAGAACATATTAAGAGTTATCACCTCAAAGACAGATCAAAGTCTACTTCCTTTGATATTGACTTTCTTTAAAAGGACCTAAATATAACCCGCTAGCTAAATAATTCAATTTTCGGAGGCAGGGAAGGAACTGAGAGCATGTTTACACAACAGACCACAACAACTCTGCAATTTTCTAATTTCTGGGAGAAGAAAACTCCTCACATTTTCTGTTTAAGGAAATGTTACTCTTGGACTAGAAGAGGCCAAACCTGCCAGCCATCCAAATGGACTCTTCACTGACAGAAGTGGCAAACACTTGCCTGCACCGCTGACAGGAAGGGCTCAGCTCAAGGAACAGAAACAATTAGCTAATCTGAATAAATGCTCCATTTTCACATGTTTCCCAGTCTTGTGCAGGGGGCTTTTACCTCGTCTACTTGAGCCACTCTGATTATTAAAGGTTTTGAAAAGCAGGGTTTCCAATCCGAGTCGAGTTCTTCTCTTCCTGCTCTTTCCTTACCCATCTAGGTTCTGGAGAACACCTACCAGTGTGCACTGCTGTGGTAAAACACACACTCAGTGCTCTCAGGGGCTCCAGAGCAGAGTGACAAGGCTGAACCTTTCTGGGTTTTTGCAACTTCATTTTACATGGGGAAGAGACTGGAAACCACAGATCCTTCTGGACGTGGAATGCAGTGCTGTGAGTGATTAGCTTTCAGTGGTGGCTCTAAAAAAGACTAGCCTGTACTTGGAAAACACATTCCTTGGTCTTTGCATTTTAAGTAGAATCAAAGAAATGTTGGGTAAATTTCACTACAGTGTTTTGAGATGGGGGCATGAGAGTTTTAATCTCATACCCCATTTCTTCAGGTATTTACGTTAGTTATTATTAATGCTGCTTTAGTTCAGAATTTGCATATATTTTGTACTGCTGCAATAACTGAAGGCATGGAAAATGGAAGAGGGATCTTCTGTCAGTGGATTGGACCAGCGTTTGTGAATGCCCTGACATCTCAAAGCAGAACACACCCACTCTTCCTCAAGCCACAGAGGCACAGCTGCTGTGGAAGGATTTTGTGTGCTGGGAATTTCTCACAGCGAGACTGATGGCTGTGCCTGGGTCCCACCAGGCACAAACATCAGGCCGGTATCCCTGGGGGTGCCTGCATGGCAGAAGTGCAGTTCCAGCTCTGCTCAGCATTCTAGCTCCCACGGCTGCCTTCAATGAGAGCCAGCCCCCTTTTTTCCCATCCCTAAGCACATGAATCAGGTGCTGTGCGCACAAACGGGACGCTTTTTAGAGAAGATTTCAGAGAGCAGGGCTGTGAAATAGTGCGGTGGGAGCTGGCAGGCAGGGAAGTGAAGCACAGGCAGGTGCCCTGCCGGGGGGGAAGCAGGTCGGCAGGGGTGCACACCCTCGCAGTGCCCGTCCTGCCCGTGCCCCGGTGCCCCCCGTGCCCTCGGGCGGGCCGGCCGCGGAGCCGAGAGCACGTACCCACTTTGAGCTCCTTGCCGAAGACCGTCCTCTCGCCCAGGGCCGAGCAGTTCCAGCGCCCGTTGCGGAACTGGAACTGGCACTCGTTGATGCCCATCTGGGACCCTTCCCCGATGACAATGATCGCGTCGGGCCTGCTCTGGCAGATCGCCCGCTGCCGGGGGGCGAGCCCCGGGATCTTGTTACAGATGATGCTGGCTCCGAGGGCCACCACAGAGGAGAAACCCCTGCAACGACAAGACACCGGCGGTGGCTGAGGGCAGGCTGGTCCCGGAGGCAGAGCAGCACCCGCTGCCTCCCCGCGCTGCGGCTCCGGGGCGGGCAGGTGCCGGGAGAGCGCCCGCCTTTCCCCTGCCCTGTCCCTGTCCCTCTCTCCAAGCCGAGCCAGAGATCGGCAGCGCGTGGGCTCCCACCAAACAGGACCAAACTTCCTCCTTCAAGGATTAAAGCGCATGCAGCGGCATTGTCTGCCCGGGTCGCGCACAGGCAGAGGGCTGGGAGGGTTTTCCCAAACCTGCCGAGCAGTCAGAGGAGAGAGGGAAGGAAGGGAGGGGGAGAACCCACGCTCCCTGCCCCGGGGCCGCGCCGCCTCCTCCCGCACGCAGCGCACCTGGCCGGGGATGCTGCGGGTGCGGATCGCGGCCGCGCTCCCTGCGCCCTCCCGGGGCGGGCGGCGTTGTCTGCGCGGGCGGCAGCGGCCGAGGGATGTCCCTGCGGGAGCGCGGGCAGGTACCGGCCAGGGAGCGGCCAGGACACCCCGCACCGGGCCGCCGGCCGGGCTGGGGAAGGGCCGGCTGCCCGGCATCGCCCCGGGGTCCCTTCCCGGCAGGGACCACCGCCCAGCCCCTCGCAGCTCCGCACCTCGCCGGGGCCGCCGCCTCCCCCCGCTGGAGGGTCGCTCCGAGGTGCACTTTACCTGTCTTTTGAGAAATAATCGTGATCTCCACCATCATCCTCCCCCCCTTTTTTTTCTTTTTTTTTTCTTTTTTTTTTTTTTTTTTGAGACTTCTCGAGTTAAATAGTAACAGGTCTGGGCAGGTTGGGCTGAGCGCGAAAGAGAGCGCGATTGTTATAAAGGAAAGAAAAAAAAGTTACTTACCCAATCTTGATATACACAATCCCCAGGCTCAGGAAGATGTGGAAGATCCAGCGCCTTGTTTTCCTGTTCATATTCCTTGCTTGCCGTGGCTCAGACCAACACGCGAAACGATGCCCGGCGCGCTGGGGGCCGGGGCCGCTCCGTGCCTGGCGCTCACGGCCGGGCGGCCGAGCGGGGCAGCCCCCGCCGCGCCCCGCAGCGCCCGCG